GCATGTCCAATACCACTACGCCAACCGATGGTTCGTGCACGACGAAGGCGGCCGTGACACTTACCGGTATCGCGGCATGATGTACAGCAACGGAGCGTCCATTTCCGGTCACATGCGGCATCTTGCCGTCGCTGCCTGTCTCGGCGGCCACGTCGACTTGCTTCGCTTTGCCATCGAGAGCGATGACAGTCCGGCCCTCTCGAGCTTGAAACCAATTGCGCTGCGCGCCGGTCGACTCTGCGTCGTGCAGGTCCTGTTTGAGAAGGGTGTGATTTCCAAGTTCAAGGCCCGCGACATGCGGCTTGCAGTCGCGACCGGGCGTGTGGACCTCGTGGCTTTTCTTTTGGACAGCAGCTCCCACGGCATGGTCGCAGAGGCGTTCAAGCAAGCTACGACCCAATGCCAGATTGCACTCTTAAAGTGGCTCTGCACCACGTACAACGAGCCATTGTACTGGCGCATTGCTCTACAAGTCGCGGTCGCCGACCTTCAACATGACGTGATCGCGTACTTTGCAACGACGCACAACCTTCATATTACGCCAGACGAAGCAGCGCGCGTGCACCGACGCCGCAAGCGCCACGACGAAGACGCTCCCACCCGGCAGACGCGGTCGCGCAACTAGCATCGGCACCGTGGACTGTAAAAGGTCGCGTTCTCTATCTATCTATCTATCTATCTATCTATCTATCTATCTATCTATCTATCTATCTATCTATCTATCTATCTATCTATCTATCTATTCGCAAAGTATCCCGCATCGCAAGGCTGTGATGACCACATCATTGCATGCACGACGTGTGCCATCGGTTCCTGCATGCGTGTCAATCGTGAGGGTCCTTTTTGGCCAATCCCAAGTCGACGTCGCGGTTTGCCATATATCATTCGGTGATTTTTAGCCAATGGCATCGCGAAGTGGGCGGATTGTGTCTAACTGTTTGCTCAACGACGCCACGGCCTCGGTCGCCCGCTCCTCGCCCGCCCTCTTCCGTGGTCGGCATACCTTCAATTAGGGCTCGACTTGACCCCGGCTAGGAGACAGCTCGAAAAATGCATCCTGAGCTGGTCACACTTTTGGCTCAAGCCGCGGCTCAGCTGTTGGAGCCGAGCCGTGGTGCCCCTACCTTCAATAGTAAGGCGTTGTGCATTGTCCACGTCGCCCTCCGAGGCCCCACCACAAGACGATGTAGTTGCTCACATAGTGGGAGCTCGGGCGTCTGGCCATAATTCTGCCTCGCAGAAGCAACAATGTGTGTCAAGAATCTCATGTACGTGCCGTGTCATCGGACCGCATCGCGCACGCAGCCTCACAACACTGGACGCATCTATGATCTTAGTCCAACACTGGCATCGATGGCTGGATGAATAAACTTAGTGTAAATTTAAAGGGGTCTGCGAGTGGTTTTTGCAGACTTTGGAGTGGTGCCCAATAGCCCTAATCCCCACCATCGCTCTCGTCCACCTCGCATCGCACGTCTTCCTTTTCCCCTACGCGCCTCCGGCGCTCCTCCTCCTCGACATCCCGACCTTTGAAATCCGTGGAATCCGTGCTACCTGAGTGCCTACTTACCACCCACGTACTCCGCTCCCCACCCTCAACACCGAAAAACCCTAACCACTCGAAAGTATGCAAAAGAGCACTCGATTTTGAACCGTGCTACAGTATATTGGGAACCCGGCGACCCTTGTGCTGACGAAAGCACTGGTTTCGAGATCGACTACGCGAACGTATACGACTTGAGAGCGTTGTTGCTGTCGGTCGCGTATACTTTGTTGCCAAATGCCGCGACGTGCACCCAGTTGGCACCTGGCAGCTGCGTCCACGTGGCGCCGTCGGTCGAGCACACGATCTTCTTGTCGGCCTTCTTGACGCCACAGACGCGCCCGCCACCCGCCGAGACGTCGCTCAGCGCCGGCGCATTGGCCATTGCCACCCACGACGCCGTGTTTTGTGTAATGCTTGTGAGCGAGCCTTTCGAGAGTGTACCAGTGGCGTCGATACCGTACACCGTCGTACCGCTCACAGCGATGTCGACCATGTTGCCGTCCAACGTGCCGACGCCCAAATTGCGTGTAAAGCAGAAGGTAACGGACGCAAGGTTGATACAAATCGCGTCTGCGTCGCCCCAGGCAGCGACGGCGTTGCCGCCCAAGCCGAACGGAGTGATGGGGTCGCCAACGGTGTACGTTGTCGAGGCGTAAATCAGCGGCCCACCGTCGACATAAGCGACGACG